CACGGCGGCCGGTGGCGGCAGCCACCACCCTAAGGTGGTGGTTTTTAGTTTCTTTCCATTATTCAATTTGTAATTTACACTTTACAATGCTGAAACTCAAAATAAACACATACACTAAACAACATAAACACACACACAGCCACCCTATGTTGGCCGGTGGTGGCGCAAGGCGGCAACAGGTGGCTGCGATGAATTTCCTTCCTGCTCCCGAGGGTTTCCGGTTGCTCACGACCACGCAGCAGTAACGAATCCATTCAAAGGTTTACCCACCCACCTGGTGGCTCTCAGCGATGGCGGCCATAGCAACATAACGTCCGACGGTGGCAGCGGCGACATCCACGGTTATCCGCGACATCGAGTCTAGCAGCGAGGCGGCTGGAGAAGGGCACGAGGATGGCGAAACAGCGGCGACCGGTGGCTTGGGATGCAACATGAGAACGGAGCGAAAAGGAGAGGAGATCTGTCGCCGGGAGCAGTGGAGGAAGAACCAAACGACGGCGACAGCGGCCTCCGGCTTCGTCGTCGTCGACAGCGGTTGAGAAAACGACATCAGCCACGATGTCGAGTTTCGATCCCTTCGTCGGAGTCGTGATGGCAGTCGCTCTTGGCTCACTGGAGTGTTACGAAGGCGACGCCGGAGGTGAGTGAAGGAGGGGTGGCGGCTGGTGTGGAGGGAGACATAAGGGGTGAGGGCTGGAAGGGTTTTGCTAGGTTTAGGGTTTCTTATGCACCAAGTATATATATGGAGGCTGCATGAGGCGTACCCGAGTCCCTTCAAACTTCTTCCCATTTTAACACTATCGGCCCCTCTCTTCATAATTATTTTCGAAATAGGCCCCATATTTACCCTTTAAACCCTGCCCCTTGAATTTCTTTGCAAACTAAGTCCGGATTTTACTAAACAGCCCCCATCTTGTAAAATCTTTACAAATAGAGTCCGAAATTTACCATTTAGCCCTTACTTCTCATAATCTAACCATCTTAAGTCCCAATAATGTACCAAGTGGTCCCTACCTTCATAAATATTTACAAAACCAATCCGGAACTTACACTTTTAACCATCAATTACTAAATTATGCCAATTTACTCCTTGAAACCACACTCTGCATATATAATTATTTATTTTAGGCTACCACTCGTTCACTAATTTATTTATTTAACTAATAAATAAACGGGTGTTACAACGACACCACCGGTCAACACTTACATCTGTAAAACAACACTGTCATCATAGATCCTACAATAACACCATTTCTTGTTCTTCTTCTTCTTCTTCTTCTTCTTCTTCTTCTTCTTCTCTTTCTTCTCTCTCTCTTTCTCTTTCTCTTATATGAGGTGGAACACCACCTCTCTCACATATCTGATAGTGTGGAGGTGGTCAGACGCATCAAAAGATTGAAGATAAATAAGAAGATCGAAGGTCCGCCATCTGCATATATACGTCATCGTCTACACCTTCTTCACCTCCGACGATATTGCTAGGGTTTCGTAAACATTCACCAGGATAATGGTGGTGACAGAGTTTCAGATCTTGAAACCAAAATGAAACCCTAATCTAGACTCGTTCTTACAGATCTTGAAATGAGTAGGAGGCGGTGTTAGGATTTCAGGAAACGAAAAGGGCGGCTCGAAGAGAAGGAGAGAGATGTAGACAGATGAAGGGGTACGTAGTGGGCGATGTTCTTCGTATTCTAAAGGATTCAACTGGGAATCTTCTTATGCAGCAACAAAGCTAAAGATCGTCTTTATAAACTGGTTGTTAAAAGTTCTCCAGCTTCCTCAGTCTTCACAGCTCCCTAGATGAAACGATGAAACGATTAACAGAGATCTTGAAGATCTGCAAAGTAGAAAGTGGAAATAATAAGGGTGTCGGAAATTTATGATTTAAATCAGAAGCTTAACAAAAACTGGTCATTGAGAATTTCATTTTTTTTAGGATAAGATATACAGATCAGGTGAAGAAAGAAGAATAAAAGAAGAGAGAGAGAGAGAGAGAGAGAGAGAGAGAGAGAGAGAGAGAGAGAGAGAGAGAGAGAGAAAGGAGGGAGTATTTTCTTGTTTCCCTTTTTTGATTTCTATAATAAAAAAATCAAAAGAAGAAAAAACAAAGGACAAAATCGTCATTATAAAAAAGTTCAAAGAAAATTTGACCAAACTCGCAACAAAATGAAAAGTTTGGACCTCTGGTGCTAGTCCAAACTTTTTTGGACCAAAGTGACAATTTTCAGCTAACCACAGGGACCATTTGTGCAGTTTTACTGTTTATAATGAACTAGTAATTTACCTAGCGCCAGTTGCGGCGGCAGTAATAGATTTAAGTAGTAGTAGAAAGTTTGTCGTTATTTTTTTGTAAGTGGACGAAAAGGTTCTTTCTATTTTCATTTCTTTTGAGTATATGCGTCTTCCGACACTACAAACACATGTAGAAAAAATTATATACATCTAAACATTCAAGAATGTTGAAACAGACGAAAAAGTTGTTTCTATTTTCATTTCCTTTGAGAATATACGCCTGACGATACTACTGACACCATACCATATTATATAGGAAAAGTTATGTACATTCATACATTCAAAAATTCAGTTTCAGGAATTACCAACGTATAATGATTAGCTACAATTTTAGGATGTAGTTAATAACAGAAGTTTAAAAAATGAGGGGGGGAGGGGGGGGGGGGGTGAAAGTAACATTGTAGAAGGTTCAAAGTTAAAGGGTAAAAAACATTTTAAAAAGTAAACGGTATCAACATACAATAATTAGCTACAACTCTACAATATAGTTAAACACGGAAGTTTAAAAAATAAATGGTGAAAATAACATTGTAGAAGGTTCAAAGTTAAAGGGTAAAAAATAACATTTTAAAAAGTAGATTGTGAAAACTAAAGGGGATGAAAGTAATATTTTAAAGACATCATAGTTTATAAGGTAGAAGCCATATTGTAAAAAAAGTAAAGGAGAAGAAAGCTTTATTTTTCAAAATATGGGTGGAAAATGTAGGTAGGTAGAAAGTTGAGGGGTGAATCAAATAAAAAACAAGAAAATAAAACCGAGGAAAAACAAAAGTATGGGCCACCATAAGTATATAATATTACTTATTTTTTAAGTTAACCAATGGAAGATAAAATAATAAAAAACTGTATTATATGTGATCTCAGTCATACAGGAAACGTACATAAATATATTCAGTAAACCATAGAAAAAAAAATTACAAAAAAACATAGAAAATTTTGAATTTATACTCACATATACATATAAAATAAAGTAATTTATTTTTAATTACTGAAGGAAAGTTGTAAATTTACGTTGAAATGTTGATAATCTCAAATTTATATCGGCATATACATAAAAATGTAACAAATTAGTTTTTTTTTATTTTTAAAGTTAACGAATGTGATAAAGTCCAAATCCGAGGGTGTGAAAGTGACATTATAAAATTGAAGTGTGGTAACTGTAGAAAAATCAGATTATATATATTACGGAAATAAACACGAAAGTTTAAAAAATAGAAGAGATTAAAATGACATTTTATAAATTTCAAAGTTGATGTGTAAATACTATATTTTAAAAAATAGACGGCTGGAAAATGTAATTTTACAAAGTAGAGGAATAAAAAGTATCAGTGGATAGGAAAAAAGTCAAACTTTATATACTATGGAGGATAAACACAAAAATTTAGAAAATAAAAAAGATAGAAAGATATATTATAAAAGTTTTAAAGTTAAGAGGATAAAATTGATATTTTATAAATTATAGGGATGAAAATGTTATTTTAAAAAGTAGAAGGTAAAAGTTTAATTAAAAGCTATTAAAGGGGTGAAAGTGCCCTTACATTTGTGAAATTCACAATATTGCATTGGGTCCCTAGGGTATCTACGCTTCTTCCATTCTTTAGGGGCCTGATTGGTTCTTTTTTTATTGGCGGAAAACGTTTTCCAAACCACAGTCCTTTATGTACCTCCTACTTATCCATGGTCTAGGTTGTACTCTGGGGGAGTAAGCACTTATCTTCTCATGTGGCGGTAGTCTAGCATGATACCGCCTCCTGTCCGTCGTACTTTTTTCAAGGCATATGCTTTCTAGCCGGATAAACCTATTGACCTTTTCTAGCAACTCTTATATGCTTTTGAACTCTCGCCCTTGGAGTTTTATGAACAAAAGTACATTTATGAGGCCATAGGTTAAGGAAACATTTATCATGGGATCGTCATGGGTGGAGACCTGGGTACATGCTTCCATGAATCTTTCCAAATAGGCGACGTTAGTTTCGCATTCCCGTTGCCGATAAGCATGAGTTGTGCTTCCTATTGAAACCGTCTCTTTTGGATGAAGCTCGTGGTGAAATTTTTACACAAGTGCTCGTAACTTGCAACACTTTTTGGTGGCAAACTTTCCGGCCAGTACCTTACCGACCCGTCGAGCGTTCCTGTGAAGAATATGCACCATAGATTCCTATTCATGGGTATAGTTCAGATTACCCATGTAAAATTAGATAATTGGTTGTAAGGATCTGTGGTGTCTTCGTATCTCCCCACCGTCGGCCTCTTTAACCTCCTCGAGACATGAGTTTGATTGATTTCGTCTCAGAATGGAGATTTGAAATCTAAAGATGCAAACTCCTTGTGATAATCCGGGAATTCTTCGTCCGATGAGTCTTTTCGCGCTTGCTTTCGCTTTGTAGGGGTTCCACCCTCTTTATTTTCCTACTCGAGTCCTCTTCTTCTTGATCCATATCTTCCAATGTATTTGTGTCAGTTGTTTACACTGTTACGAACTCCTCATTTCTTTCTTTATATACTCTCTTTGCTTCCTTATTTTTCTAGTATCTTCAAAAGGCCTCGTACTCCTGCTTGTTCTTTTCTGTATAAGAAGCTTTGATCTCCATATTCTTAGCAGTTGGTTGGGCGCTCCCTGTTTCTAACATTGACATCTATCATATAGGGCTAGATTTATCTGGGGTGACTGTGGTTCCGTCCACGGCTTATAGTAGGAAGTCCGGTGGATGGCGCCAAATGTTGCAACCGGTTACACCTTGCTCGTCGTGGATGAGGACAACCATGCCTCTAAGATGGTTACAACAATAACAACAGGTCAAAGCGAATCCCGGTTTCCCCGAAACCTATCCGATGAGAAAGTAAGTATCGTGAAGATGAAGTTTTCTCTAGCATTAATAGACAACAGTATTTAAAAGTTATTAGATAGATTATCGAATTTTCATACCTGGGAGTGTTGTTTATGTGTTTCTTTTTATAAGAGGATCAAGCCTCGATACCCGCTAGTACAAAGGACAAAAGTACATTGAAAAGACCTTCCTTGTCAAAAATGGGCGGGCCTTCGTAGGCCATTTCAGAGTCCCCATCTTGGATGAACATCCACGTTCTTAGTCTGTGTTCGGTCACACATTTACTTCCTATCTTTCGGATGCGGATATACCCTTAGATCGGGTGATGATCCAACTCAAATACCTACATACGTCCTTAAGCACTAAGACTGATAACTTCAAATTCCTTTGATCTTCATGATATCTTATTATGAACCAGAGACATGGATCTAGGTTCAACCTCATGGTTCATAATTATGTTTCCCGATACCGACTTGTGGTGACATCTAGACTGATTGTCAAATCTAATCAACCCAATCTTAGTTTGACCAAGAATTTGTTGTCAACACCAAATCAACGAGGGGCCAGAGATATATAATTCTCTAATTCTAGCAGAATGATCAAATAAACTTTGACTGCATAGGCCAATTCTATTCCTCATGAAATATCTAGTCAAACCCTGTATGGCTGCCAGTTACGGACAACATTGGGGTAAAACCAAGACATAACATATTGTAGAACAAGACCTCATGTATCCGCATTTGAAGAATATAAAATTCATCCATCTTAATTTACTTATGACATGACCCATGAAGTGATCTTTTAGTGTGGTTACTCCAATACTTTAAATCTCAATTTTCAAGTAATCATTAGTATTGGTCGCAGGGCTATGCTATGTTCATCCCTATGAACAATCTACCAATACTATGGAAATCTTAACTCACTACTCTATTCCAAGAGTAGGATTGACTGTGGAAGTTTGAATAATAAAATTATTCTGGAAGTGCTTCTAAACATGCAAAAGAAGGAACATAGATAATATGAATAAGCATAACAATTTATTATTAATAATAACAAAATTTTTTAATATCCAATATGTTCCATATGATCAAACTACAAATTATGTAATCAAACCAGTTCACTAGCAAAACGAATGACAATAAACCTAGTATGAGCATCATGCTTAATCTATAACAATGGTTTAGTGAACGAATCAACTGGATTGTCTTCTGATGGTACTCTGCTCACAATGATGTCTCCATCTTCAACTAGTTTCCTAATGTAGTGAAATTTTCTTTGAATATGCCTTGTGTGATTGTGATCTCGAGGTTCTTTAGCTAAAGTAACTGCACCCTCGTTATTATAGAAGATCTCAACTGGTTTGGCTATGCTAGGAACAACACCCAAATCATTGATGAACTTCTTGAGCCACACTACTTCTTTGGCCTCTTCATTGGCTGCAATATACTCTAACTTTGTAGTTGAGTTAACTATAGTCCCCTGCTTGGAACTTCTCCAAGTCACCGCTCCTCCATTTAACATGAATACATAATGAGACTGAGATCTGAAATTATCCCTGTCAGTTTGAAAACTTGCATCTACATATCCTTTTATACTTAGCTCTTCCTTACCACCATAAACCAAAAACATATCATTAGTCGTCCTAAGATACTTCAGAATTTTCATGACTACAGTCGAATGAATTTCGCCTGGATTGGCTTGATAATGACTCGTACTAATGGCGTATGAGACGTCAGACCTTGTACATATCATGGCGTACATGATCGACCCTATAGCCAAGGCATATGGGACTCAACTCATTGTGTCTAGTTCTTCAATAGTATTAGGAAATTGGTTTTTACTCAAAACCATGCCACGTTGTATAGGTACAAATCCCTTCTTAGTTTCTTCCATCTTGAATTTCTTTAAGATTTTATCTAAGTATATGTTTTGGCAAAGTCCTATTAGTCGCCTAGATCTATCCCTATAGATCTTGATACCAAGTATGTAGGTAGCTTCTCCCAATTCCTTCATAACAAAACTCTTCCCAAGCTATGCTTTTACACTATTCAATGTTGGGATGTCGTTTCCTATTAAAAGAATATCATCGACATATAAGAAAAGGAATAAAACTATCCTCCCACTAGATCTAACATACACACATTTTTCATCTTCATTACTTAAGAAACCAAACTCATTGATCTTCTCATCGGAAGCCAGGATTCAGTATAAAGAAGGTATTCCTCCTGATCAGGAGAGACTCATTTTCGTCGGGAAGTAGTTAGAACTTAGAAGATAACAAAGCTATCTCAGACTACAATATCTAGAAGGAATCTACCCTTCATCTCGTCCTCCATCTTCGTGTCAGGATGCAGATCTTTGTCAGAATGCGAATGGGGAAGACCCATATTTATTGAAGTTGAAAGCCTTGATACCATAGGTAAAGTGAAGGCCAACATTCAGGATATAGAGGGGATTCCACCGCATCATCAGCTTTTGATCATTGCTGGGAAGAACCTCGAGAGTCCTAGAACTTTAAAAGAATATGACATGCCAGTAGTATTTACATTTCACCTGAGTCTGATGTTTGAAGATGATATGCGAATTTTCATAAAGACTTTGATAAGGAAGACCATCACGCTGGTAGTGGGGACCTCGGAAACCATTTGTAATGTGAAGGAAAAAATTCAGGCCGTTGAGGGGTTTCCATGGAATCAACATCGTTTGTTCACTGTTGGAAAGAAGCTTAAGAATGACAAAACTTTGAGGGATCATAACATCGAAAAAGAATCTAGATTGGACCTTATTCTTGGTTGGGGGTGGGGAGGAGATGTTTTTCAGATTTTTGTGAAGACTTTGACAGGGAAGGTCATTGGGCTGATGGTGAAGATCTTGGAGACAATTTATAACTTGAAGGCGAAGATTTGGGTCATAGAACAGATTCCATTGCGTGAACTGTAACACCCATAAAATTCAAGCCAATTTAAAACTTTTCAAAACATTTAAAACCAAGAGTTATTACAGATTTGTTTTCAAAATAGTCTATATCAGAGTTTTCCTAGAAACATAAACAAAACATGAGGAGTTGTACGATCATGCCTTTGCCTTGTCGCGATCCCCTGATGTACCTGAAACAATAAACTAAAACTGTAAGCCTGATAGCTTAGTGAGTTTCCCCCAAAATACCGATACACTGCACATAACACATGTACAAATAACAGCATATACTGGGTCCACAGCTTTACAGTGTGAGTCTGGATTGCCTTCCGGGCCCACAGCTCACATCTGGATTGCCTCCGAGCTCACAGTATGAGTCACCCTTAGCTCGTATCTGGAATGCTCCCGGGTTTGTTGGTTACCGCACGAAGCAGTATCACCTCAACCCATCTCAAATAATATGTCGACATATAACACAACTAATGCACATACAGATAATCACATGATACTACAGGTAGTCCTACAGATCTACCTAACTGGCATAACAACTAATATGCAACACTAACTCATACTCAACATACTACCAACTGCTAGGGAATCGTATCCAATGGTCCGGCATTGGTGCCTTAGACCCCTTAGTATAGTGAGGATAACTCACCTCACACTGTCGACTCGATGATAAACTCAACTCTCAGATCGCCGGCACAAACTCCACCACCTATATCCACCATAGAACCATGCTTGTAAATTTCCAATTTTCCAAAATGTCCCCAGAAGTCAACTGGTCAACCGTTTGTCAAAGTCAAAGTCATTGGTCAAGGTCAACAGTCCATGTTGACCTCAACTCGTCGAGTACCCTCAGCTACTCGCCGAGTTCCTTGCATAACTCGCCAACTCGCCGAGTCACTGGAGTGACTCGTCGAGTTCCTAAGGTTTGCGGCCGTAAACTCCTTGCCCGAATCGTCAAGTTTCCCCTTGCAACTCGCCAAGCTCAAACATGACCAAAGGTTGGGAAAACCGTAGCCAACTCACCGAGTCACTAATCTGACTCACCGAGCCCACGACAATCTTCATCGGACTCGCCGAGTTGACCATGCAACTCGCCGATTCCCTTCAGTCCTTCATCCATACAGATGCTTTTTAAGCCATGTTAAGGTTCCATATTGTAGATCCAGCTGCCCAAGGTATGTTTATCATGTAAAGTTGCAAACTTTACGTGCATGCAAAGCTCTAAAATCTCAAAATGACAAAACCAAGCTTGCAGAAGAGTTTTACACCTTAGGAGAGTCTCATTCTTGTAAAAGCTAGAAGATTTATGGACTAAGAGACCCAAGAGAGTTCAGATCTGAAGCTGCAACTTCAGATCTTAGCTCAAACACAAGAAAGGCTTCCAAATATGCTAGAAAAGCCCTAAAATCCACCCAAGAGAGATCTAGAACGAAATGAGGTTAAGATAACGACTTAATACCTTCCAAAGGATGCCAACTGAGGTAGATCTCTGATTCCCACACGATCCTTGCTTCTAGCTACTTGTTTCCCCAAGCTTTTCTCACCAAAAAATCCTTCTTCAAGGCTTAAGACACACAATGGAGCACACTCACACGAGTTAGGGTTATGGAGTATCAAGGGGCTGTGAAAGGGAGGATGGGGAGGCCAATGATCCTTTAAATAGGGTGCAAAACCCCGAAAATTAGGGTTTCATCCTCCAGCTCCTACTCGTCGAGTCCCTAGTTGGACTCGGCGAGTAGGTCACTCAAACACGTGAACCAACCCACTGCTACTCGACGAGTCGGGCAAGCAACTCGTCGAGTAGACCTTGAAACGAAGAAAAATCTTATATCAAAAGTCAATACCTGAGAATCGGGGCGATACATGAACACCGTGTATTTCGCGGTGATGGAAGGCGACTAGAGGATGGTAAAACTTTTAGTGATTATAACATCCTGAATGAATCTACAATGCACATGGTAGAGATGGTGTATGGAGGTCGTTATCATATTTTTGTTAAGACTTTGACAGGTAAGACTATCAAGACTTTTCTTGGTGCTACAGGGACCATTGATTTTTCGAAGGCAAAGATTCAAGACATTGAATGGATTCGACCACATCATCAACGTTTGGTCACTTCTGCAAAGACCGTTGAGGATGTTAGAACTTTGGCCGATTATAATATCCAACAAGAGTCTACATTGGATCTGGTTCTGAGGCTTGGTGGATATGATATCCTGATTTATGTTGTGATTAATTTGAAAGGGAACTGGAAGATCATCATTCTGGAAGTGGAAAAGTTGTACACCGTTGAAGATGTGAAGGAAAAGATTAAGGACAAATAGGGTATTCCCGCTGATCACCAGAGACTTATATTTGAAGCGAAGGAACTAGATAATGGGCGGACTCTTGCTGATTATAATATTCAGCAGGAGTCTACTCTTAACCTTTTTGATCCCGAACTCTAAATTTATATTTTCATGTATATTTAACTAAAAGCTTCTTCATGTCTTCATCTTGGATGGAGTTAATTTCTACTTAAATGATTTACATACACAAGGTAAACCGGGAACCTTTTTCCTTTTTGTGATAGATATGGTCATTTTGATGACAATGTTGTCTTTTGTTAATGCTCATGAGTAGTTGTAGTCATGGAACTATATCATGAATCCTAGCTTGTTGTGATTCAAGTTTTTTTGAAAAAAGTTATGATGCTTTACTGCAATTTGTTCGCTTATTTCTATAGTTGCAAATCAATCAAGTGAAAAGAATATAATCAGAGTAATTAATAAACGTAGAACACACCATGTAAATAATGTCTGTTTGGCTCAATATGCTTTCAAGAGAGTACATAGTGAATAGACAAAATACAACGAAATTATTATCTAACTCTAGTACCATTCACCTATTTATAGGGAACCAGAAAGCGAACAAAAAAATACAAGGGACTAGTTACACTAGACTTCGAACACTAAAATGCCCTTGTAATAAGATTACAAACTAACGAAGCTATCAACAAGATTCGACACCTCACAACTAAATTCGACCTCTACAATTTCATCTTATCCGGGTTTATGTTATTGTTTTGGTATCTTTGTTTTAGTTTTTTTCTTTAGTTTATTGTCCTTTGTGCTGTATAAAGCTGAAGAAGAATGGAGGGCAACTGAGGAGCTAAGGGCAACTTGATATTATAAGTCATTTAGACAAACGGTCAAACGCCACATTGTTTCATGAAATTCCTCAATTAAATGTTTGTTTCATATGAATGTGTTACTTTTTAACCAGTAACTAAGATCTCCAGTAACTAAGCTCTGATAAATATCCTTAAAGTTGGGATTTTATTTACTTTTTTAGAATCGAATCCTGCAATTATTGTCCAAAAAGAAAGACATTGTTTGTTGTTTGGAAATTGATATATAAAACTTATCAGTATCTTTTATTTGGTTAATTAAAAAATAACCATAATATGTGTGTTATTATAGAATAACCACTCACAAACCGGTGACTTTTAAGCAAATAATACATTTTTGACAACTAAAATGGCAACTTTAAGACTTTAAGTGATTGTGTAACAGACTAGGCTATGTTTGGCGTACAAGCTGAAAAGCTAGCTGTTAGCTGAAAAACTAATTATATGAAAAACTAATTATATGAAAAACTGGAGTGACTCGTCGAGTTCCTAAGGTTTGCGGCCGTAAACTCCTTGGCCAACCCGTCAAGTTTCCCCTTGCAACTCGCCAAGCTCATACATGACCAAAGGTTGGGAAAACCCTAGCCAACTCGCCGACTCACTAATCTGACTCGCCGAGCCCACAACAATCTTCATCGGACTCGCCGAGTTGACCATGGAACTCACCGAGTCCCTTCAGTCCTTCATCCATACAGATGCTTTTTAAGCCATGCTAAGGTTCCATATTGTAGATCCAGCTGCCCAAGGCATGTTTATCACGTAAAGTTGCAAACTTTACGTGCATGCAAAGCTCTAAAGTCTCAAAATGACAAAACCAAGCTTGCAATGGAGTTTTACACCTTAGGAGAGTCTCATTCTTGCAAAAGCTGGAAGCTTTATGGACTTAGAGACCGAAGAGAGTTCAGATATGAAGTTGCAACTTCGGAACTTAGCTCAAACACAAGAAAGGCTTCCAAATATGCTAGAAAAGCCCTAAAATCCACCCAAAAGAGATCTAGAACGAAATGAGGTTAAGATAACGACTTAATACCTTCCAAAGGATGCCAACTGAGGTAGATCTCTGATTCCCACACGATCCTTGCTTCTAGCTACTTGTTTCCCCAAGCTTTTCTCACCAAAAATCCTTCTTCAAGGCTTAAGACACACAATGGATCACACTCACACGAGTTAGGGTTATGGAGTATCAAGGGGCTGTGAAGGAGAGGCTGGGGAGGCCAATGATCCTTTAAATAGGGTGCAAAACCCCGAAAATTAGGGTTTCATCCTCCAGCTCCTACTCGTTGAGTCCCTACTTGGAGTCGGAGAGTAGGTCACTCAAACAAGTGGACCAACCCGCTGCTACTCGACGAGTCGGGCAAGCAACTCGTCGAGTAGACCTTGAAACCAAGAAAAATATTATATCAAAAGTCAATACCTGAGAATCGGGGCGATACATGAACACCGTGTATTTAGTGGTGATGGAAGGCAACTAGAGGATGGTAAAACGTTTAGTGATTATAACATCCTGAATGAATCTACAATGCACATGGTTGAGATGGTGTATGGAGGTCATTATCATATTTTTGTTAAGGCTTTTTTCTTGGTGCTATAGGGACCATTGATTATTCGAAGGCAACGATTCAAGACATTGAAGGGATTCGACCACATCATCAACGTTTGGTCACTTCTGCAAAGACTGTTGAGGATGTTAGAACTTTGGCCGATTATAATATCCAACAAGAGTCTACATTGGATCTGGTTCTGAGGCTTGGAGGATATGATATCCTGATTTATGTTGTGATTAATTTGAAAGGGAACTAGAAGTTCATCATTCTGGAGGTGGAAAAGTTGTACACCGTTGAAGATGTGAAGGAAATGATTGAGGACAAATAGGGTATTCCCGCTGATCACCAGAGACTTATATTTGAAGCGAAGGAACTAGATAATGGGCGGACTCTTGCTGATTATAATATTCAGCAGGAGTCTACTCTTAACCTTTTTGATCCTGAAATCTAAATTTATATTTTCATGTATATTTAACTAAAAGCTTCTTCATGTCTTCATCTTGGATGGAGTTAATTTCTACTTTAATGATTTACATACACAAGGTAAACCGGGAACCTTTTTCCTTTTTGTGATAGATATGGTCATTTTGATGACAATGTTGTTTTTTGTTAATGCTCATGAGTAGTTGTAGTCATGGAACTATATCATGAATCCTTGTTGTGATTCAAGTTTTTTGGAACAAAGTTATGATGCTTTACTGCAATTTGTTCGCTTATTTCTGTAGTTGCAAAATCAATCGAGTGAAAAGAATATAATCAGATTAATAATTAAATGTAGAACACACCATGTAAATAATGTCTCTTTGGCTCAATATGCCTTCAAGAGAGTACGGAGTGAATAGACAAAATACAACGAAGTTATTATCTAACTCTAGTACTGTTCACCTATTTATTGGGAACCAGAAAGCGAACAAAAAAATACAAGGGACTAATTACATTAGAATTCGAACACTAAAATGCCCTTGTAATAAGATTACAAACTAACGAAGCTATCAACAAGATTCGACACCTCACAACTAAATTCGACCTCTACAATTTCATCTTATCCGGGTTTATGTTATTGTTTTGGTATCTTTGTTTTAGTTTTTTCTTTAGTTTATTGTCCTTTGTGCTGTATAAAGCTGAAGAAGAATGGAGGGCAACTGAGGAGCTAAGGGCAACTTGATATTATAAGTCATTTAGACAAACGGTCAAACGCCACATTGTTTCATGAAATTCCTCAATTAAATGTTTGTTTCATATGAATGTGTTACTTTTTAACCAGTAACTAAGATCTCCAGTAACTAAGCTCTGATAAATATCCTTAAAGTTGGGATTTTATTTACTTTTTTAGAATCGAATCCTGCAATTATTGTCCAAAAAGAAAGACATTGTTTGTTGTTTGGAAATTGATATATAAAACTTATCAGTATCTTTTATTTGGTTAATTAAAAAATAACCATAATATGTGTGTTATTATAGAATAACCACTCACAAACCGGTGACTTTTAAGCAAATAATACATTTTTGACAACTAAAATGGCAACTTTAAGACTTTAAGTGATTGTGTAACAGACTAGGCTATGTTTGGCGTACAAGCTGAAAAGCTAGCTGTTAGCTGAAAAACTAATTATATGAAAAACTAATTATATGAAAAACTGGAGTGACTCGTCGAGTTCCTAAGGTTTGCGGCCGTAAACTCCTTGGCCAACCCGTCAAGTTTCCCCTTGCAACTCGCCAAGCTCATACATGACCAAAGGTTGGGAAAACCCTAGCCAACTCGCCGACTCACTAATCTGACTCGCCGAGCCCACAACAATCTTCATCGGACTCGCCGAGTTGACCATGGAACTCACCGAGTCCCTTCAGTCCTTCATCCATACAGATGCTTTTTAAGCCATGCTAAGGTTCCATATTGTAGATCCAGCTGCCCAAGGCATGTTTATCACATAAAGTTGCAAACTTTACGTGCATGCAAAGCTCTAAAGTCTCAAAATGACAAAACCAAGCTTGCAATGGAGTTTTACACCTTAGGAGAGTCTCATTCTTGCAAAAGCTGGAAGCTTTATGGACTTAGAGACCGAAGAGAGTTCAGATCTGAAGTTGCAACTTCGGATCTTAGCTCAAACACAAGAAAGGCTTCCAAATATGCTAGAAAAGCCCTAAAATCCACCCAAAAGAGATCTAGAACGAAATGAGGTTAAGATAACGACTTAATACCTTCCAAAGGATGCCAACTGAGGTAGATCTCTGATTCCCACGCGATCCTTGCTTCTAGCTACTTGTTTCCCCAAGCTTTTCTCACCAAAAATCCTTCTTCAAGGCTTAAGACACACAATGGATCACACTCACATGAGTTAGGGTTATGGAGTATCAAGGGGCTGTGAAGGGGAGGCTGGGGAGGCCAATGATCCTTTAAATAGGGTGAAAAACCCCGAAAATTAGGGTTTCATCCTCCAGCTCCTACTCGTCGAGTCCCTAGTTGGACTCGGCGAGTAGGTCACTCAAACACGTGAACCAACCCGCTGCTACTTGACGAGTCGGGCAAGCAACTCGTCGAGTAGACCTTGAAACGAAGAAAAATCTTATATCAAAAGTCAATACCTGAGAATCGGGGCGATACATGAACACC